GATGACAATTATATTTCCCTTGTCCCTTGCAGGTTAAGTAATCAGCTTGTGATCCAATTTTGGCCAATGAGACTTAAGGCAAAGTCATCTGGGGAAATGTTTTTTGGCCTAATAAAAAGAAATACAGGAATGCCTGACTGGCTCAGTCTGTAGGGCATGGGAATCTTGATGTGGAGGTAGTGAGTTCAAGCCCCATATTGGATATAGAGATTACTGTAAAAAATTGTAAGAAAAGAGAGAGATACAAGATCAAATATCCATTTTCTTTAGTTGGACACTGTTGAGTGAACATGTAATAAGTCATCTTACAAGTAGGAGGAGTTATACCCAAAGATCTAGCCAATATTCTGAGGATGGCAGAGGGAAAGATCCAAAGAGCCAGGCTCCTTGAAAACACCATTGAATTTAATTCTAGAAGTGCCTTGCATCTGAGGTTCTTACTATGTAAGATAATGACTTCTTCCTCATTTTCCTCGTTTTTAAAGTCGCTTTCAGTTGAATCTTCTGTTACTTTGTGCTAATAGTAGCCTAACATACAATCGCTTCTTGAATCACACTTGCTTCACTTTTTGTTTTATTCAAAATCTTTACTAATTTTATAATGGGCTAAAGCATAAACTAATATGGTATTTTCTAAACATTTTACTTCTACTTAATCAGGAACATTTTGCCAGAAACTTCAGGATAAGCATAAAATGACACAGAGTTTTTATTTCCCTGCTCTTTGAAAACAAAGCATCCTTGGTGAATTTGGATTTCTATGGGAGAAATCTCCATGTGGCTAATAACTCTATTCATAAGTAGGAAGTCTGGCTACTTTGACAGATCACAGCTAAATAACAAACATGCAGGTCTAAGTCATCACACAGTTTAGATACGAATTCAACAGCAGGATAATGACAGTTGCCAAGGATTTATACTTGCTGTCGCTTCACACCAGTGTTGGCTGTCAAAATGTCTCTTTTTCTTATACAGAAGCCATAGATTTTTTATGGATAGCGATTACTTACAATATACAATGAAGTATATCAAATCTAACAACCACTCTTTAGCCCCTCATTATTTGGTAGTCTCTTTGTTAAATGTAGTCAACCATTTTCATCTAAATTATTTATTTATACTGTATATTTGACAAGCATATCTTTCTCACTTTATATTCTTGCAGCATTTAAACCTTCATGAAGAGTTATTTTTTTTAATATTGTCATTTGTAAAATTTATCTTTATCCTATTCCCATTTTAATGGTAATTAAACTCCCTAATTGGAATAAATACAAATAAAAAATGTAAACATAAGGGAGAATGACCCTAAGCACATTCAATAATAAATCAACAGCTTAAAATACTGAAATGCAACTGATAAAAGAAATAACCCCACATATGTTTGGTGACTGTAACCCACTATAAAATCTCTGGAGTACACAAAGCACAAAAATTTCATCATAACCTTTTTCCAACTTGATGAAATGAATAACCTAAAGATATAAATAACTTTTTACAATTACTAGATAAAATGTGATTTAAACATCATAGAAAGTAAATAATAGAAGTTATAATAATAAAAGTGAACAGTTCCCCCCAAATTTTATTTCCAACAGCAGAAGAAATTATATTTCTAGCTTGGCCTAGAAATTTAGGTAAGAGTACCCCAATTGCAGAGCAATTCCAGTTATTTTATAACACATATATGTCATATTTTTACTAGCAACATGATGATTCCATTTTAAAACTGATTTCAGTACTTATCTAATGTGCTAAAAATAATTTCTCCCACAGGGAACTAAAAGAGTTGGCAACACACTCAACTGCAATCAGGATTAAAAAATACTTAACTTTCTATTATAAAAATCATGAAATTATATCTTTAGATGATCATCAGCTAAAAGTCATTAAAATATTTTATGTGTGGGATAGAGAGTGATACTAATTTTTTACAACATTCTCTTAATTTTAAAATGCAATTGTAGTTTAGAAATATTCTACTCAGATTCAGAAATACTTTTTATTGATATCAATACCAGTATTGATACTGGTTATCAATAAATAAATAATTAATTCTGCCATCCATGTCTCCAAGGCTGGTGTTCTGCTCCAGGTCACTTGGGAATACCTCAGACTACAGCTAGGTAGGAAAAGTTTCTTATTGTGCTGCTTTCCTGGAAGTAGCCATAGGAATTAGGCTACTAATTCCAAACATCTGACATCCTAGTGGTAAATCATAAAATGGGAGGATCAAACTTTCTTTGGCACAATATGTTGAACTCAGTTACACTGTTGGTGATTAGTTTTCTTGCTGGGGAAAGGTTCCTGGCACAGCAGTTTTCACTCTATTACAAAAAATTTCAATAGAGTGACAAAGGAAAAACATCGCAAGAACACAAGAGAGAGGAGAAGAGTGGATAATGTGAATTCAGTATAGAATAAATTAATAGCATCAGGTAATAACATGAGAATAAAGTGACCAGTCACTGTATGGCTTGCAATGAATAGATTTAATACATGTGGGCATATTTTGTAAAATGTACAGTATGTTTAGTGAAAAGAAACATAATCTCTTGTGATATAAGTAAAGGAACAACAAATTGACTATATTTTAATAATTATTTCTCATAAAAAATCACAAAGATGTCGGAAGAAATGTGGCAAGGAAAACAAGAATGAGACAAGAAAAGTTTTAACCTCAATCAGGGGGAAAATGTCTTAACTCACAGAGAAAATTGCCTCTCTCTCTGATAATCATATTAATGCCAAAGGATCTTAGATTACCCTGAGCCTTTATGAACTTGACCTCTTTTAGGTTGAAACTCATCATTTTCTTTTTCATGAAAGTAAAAGATCTCTGGGCATTGTCTTTGACTTTACATTAGATTACGAAGAAAACGTTTATTTTCTAGGTACATCATAATCAAAGTTGATGATAACAGGTAATAGTGGCAAAAAAGAAGTCAGGATTCAAAGAAATATGAGAAATATAGAAATAAACTATAAAAAAAAAAAAAACCAAACCAGGTAGTAGGAAAGTATCACATGAAAAGAAAGACTGACATTTAAAAAAAAGGACAAATAAAGCCAGACTTAAAAAGAATCAGAATCAAAGAAAGAAAATGAGAAAAAGCAGAAAGAAACTGTATAAATGAAATTTCAGTTAACTCTAACAAAAAAATAAAGAATCTAAAAATACACAAAAGATAGTTGGAATAAAAAGTAAATGTAGGGGCACCTGGGTGGTTCAGTTGTTGGGCGCCTACCTTCAGCTTGGGTCATGATCCCAGGGTCTTGGGGTGGAGCCCCACATCGGGCTCCCTACTCTGCGGGAAGCCTGCTGCTTCCCCTTCTACTCCCCCTGCTTGTGTTCCCTTTCTCACTGTTTCTTTCTCAGTCAAATAAATAAATAAAATCTTAAAAAAAAAAGAAGTAAATGTAGTACTATTTTAAAGAGGAAAATTGGTAAAAATAAATTCTAAAGGGAATAGAAATGTGTAAATACACATTATGTTAGCAATGACATTTGTAGAAAGAAATAACTAAAGGTCTGATTTAGAAATTGTTATCCATTGTCTTATTGGAAAGACTACTCTCATGAATAACTTACATCTCTACAGTATAACTATATTAGGTAATGATGCTCTAAAAAATTATCTATGCATATAGCTAGTACACCATGTAAAGAACCTCAGACACTGCTAATATGGACTCAGAAGTAAGGGGAATAAAGCAAAACAAAAATTAGCTAAAAGTCTAGATTTCACTTTCACCTAAATTTACCAACACACAAAAAACCAGTTTTAAGATATAAATGTAACATGGCATTTTCATAAGAGATTAACATAATTCTTAATATATTAATATTTTCTTCAGTGCTCTTATAGTATATGTTTTCTTTTCTTTTTTTTTTTTTTTAAAGATTTTATTTATTTATTTATTTGACAGACAGAGATCACAAGTAGGCAGAGAGGCAGGCAGAGAGAGAGGAGGAAGCAGGCTCCCTGCTGAGCAGAGAGCCCGATGCGGGGCTCAATCCCAGGACCCTGGAATCATGAAAGCAGAGGCTTTAACCCACTGAGCCACCCAGGCGCCCTATGGTATATGTTTTCTATTTAACGTTAAGACTATGACACCACATTTGGCCAGACAATAGTTTATCAACACCTGATAGGGGCGCCCAGGTGGCATCACAATTGGTTAAGCGTTCAATTCTTAGTGTCCGTTCAGGTCATGATCTTAGGGTTGTGAGATTGAGCCCTGCCTCAGCTCTGTGCTAGGTATGGAGCCTGCTTGGGATTCTTTCCCTCACCCTCTGGCCCTCCCCATCCCTCACTCCTTCCTAGTGTGATCTCTCTCTCTCTCAAATAAATAAATAAATCTTCAAACATGCATACACTTGGCAGATACTTTTTCATTCTTTCGCTTTCTAATGGAGAAAAGAAAAACAGGAAAAATATCTCTGTCTCCTCTGCTTTGCATTTCTCAGAAGTGTGGTAGAATACATAGTTAAAAGTTCTTGCTGTGGAGTTAGATCTACATGGGTTCAAACCATATGTTCTCTACCTATAAGCTCTGTGATCTTGGTCAAGCTAATCAACCTATCTAGGTCTTTGTTTCTTCACTGGCAAAATGGAAATATTCAAATACTACCTGCCTTATATTCCTCCCAAGGTTGTTTAGAGAACTAAATAGGTACAATGCAGGTTAAGTGTTTAGTATGGTGACTGACACAGAACAAATATTATCTGCCCCATTATCGTTTTTATCATTATGCTACTGTCCAAGTCAAACTCCAGGGATAATTTCTGTTTCTTGCGTCATCTATCTTTTTTCTTCCCATAGAATAAAAGAAATTGGAGGGCTCCAATCCAGGCAACAACCTTCATAGCCCATCATATCTCCAAGTTATTACTGACATCATCTCTACAAAATATTAAGCATTTACATAGACAAATTTTTGTAAGTACTTTATCTCCTTCAGGATTCAGTTTAAGCTGCTGAAATAATATTCTTACCTTGGTAAATCTTTTGAAATACATTTGGAAATTGGGTGAATGGTGTCTCCATTGAAGGTGTCTTCAGCATTGCTCTGCTGTGATACCTTCATGGCTTTAGTCAGAGGTGATAAAGAAGACTGAGAAAGTGATGCTCTGTGATCATCTGCTTCTCTTTTTGCCATTTTCAGCTAAAAATGAAGTAGAATAATATTTAATTTAAAAGATAAAACCTTCTGGGGTGCCTGGGTGGCTCAGTGGGTTAAAGCCTCTGCCTTCGGCTCGGGTCATGATCCCAGGGTCCTGGGATCGAGCCCCACATCGGGATCTCTGCTCAGCGGGGAGCCTGCTTCCTCCTCTCTCTCTCTGCCTGTCTCTCTGCCTACTTGTGATCTCTGTCTCGCTGTAAAATGAATAAGTAAAATCTTAAAAAAAAAAAAAAAGAAAACTGTAAACTATTGGGCACCTGGGTGGCTCAGTGGGTTAAAGCCTCTGTCTTTGGCTCAGGTCATGATCCCAGAGTCCTGGGATCGAGCCCCACATTGGGCTCTCTGCTGAGCAGAGAGCCTGCTTCCCTTCCTCTCCCTCTGCCTGCCTCTCTGCCTACTTGTGATCTCTGTCTCACTATCAAATGAATAAATAAAATCTTAAAAAAAAACTAATTGTTAATTAGAAATTAAATAAATAAAAATGTGTTAATTTAAATTTGACTGACACTACTATGGTATTTTACCAACTACAGGTAAAGATACTGCCTTATATTTTATTAACACATGCATAGTTTATTTATTGATACACTGAAAAACCACTATTTTTTTTTTACTTTCCATTTCTTAATCATTTTACATGAATATAAGCTCTCACTCATGCCCACCCTTAGACCTGCTCTTCTACGTTTTTTTTTTTTTTTTTTTTTTTTTTAAAAAGGCATTCAAACACACAGTGGTTACAGGCCTGGACTCTGGAGCCAGAGTGTTTGGGTTTAAAGCCCTACTGCCCACTTAAAGGTAACTGTGACACTTTGGACACATCACATAACACCTTTCTGCATCAGTTTCTTTATTTGTAAGAAAGGGTTAAGAATAGTAGCCACTCCATAAAGTTGATGTGCTCCCACATCATAGGTAACATGTATCAGCTAAAAGAAGAGGAAAGGTTTGATGGTCTTCAAGTTAGGGTAATAACTATCAATAACAAAACAGAACATGGGGCTTTCCCAAGGGGCATGTAAGTGTGGATAGTTGTAAACAAGAAAGTTTAGAAAAGACTTTCAAGCATAAAAGATAAACATTCTGTAGAAGAAATGCAATGGGAATTTGAGGAGAGGAGCAGCTGGATGGCTCAGTTAGTTGTGTCAGCTCAGGTCATGATCCTGGGGTCCTGGGACTGAGTCCTGCATCTCAGTGAGGAGGTGGCTTCTCCTCCTGCTCCTCACATTGCTCGTGAGCACGCACACACTCTCTCTCTCTCTCTCAAATAAATAAATAAAATCTTTAAAAAAAGAAACAACTGTACTGTAAAACAAAACTATGAGAAAAAAGATGTGTGCATGCACATGCATAAGTGTCATGTCACCACCAACCCAAAAATGTACCGAAATCTCTAGATCTAACTTCTAGTTTGTGAGAAATGAGGAAGGTAGAAAAACATGTTAAATGACGTGACACTGAAAATAAAGATGGAGAAATGTTACAAGTGGAAAGAGACTAAGAATTATATCAACCAAACACAATTTGTAAAACTTGTTTAGATCCTGATTTGAGTAAACTAACTTTAATAAGACAAATTTTTTGAGAAAATTATTATTATTATTATTTTTAAAGATTTTATTTTTATTTATTTATTTATTTATTTAACCCGTTGAGCCACCCAGGCGCCCCTTTTGAGAAAATTATTGACATGGAACACAAACTGGGTATTACAGATACTAAGGAAATTATTTTATTGGATATGAATAAATGGTGTTGTTGTTATATTATTTGTTAAAAATTTACTGGGCACATTTGTCTTCATTAAGCTATTTGTTACTGGTTACAACACTCAGTTTTGGATATTAAGGGTAATGGTATTATGACAAATGGGGGCACCTGTACGGTTCAACTGGTTAGACATCTGACTCTTGATTACGGCTGGGGTTGTGATCTCAGGGTTGTGGGATTAAGCTCATGTCAGGCTCTGCTTGTGCTCTCTCACCCTCTCTCTAAATAAATAAATAAATAAGTAAATAAATAAATAAATTTTAAAAATCTTAAAAAAAATGACAAAATAAGCATTTCGTGCTTGTAGTTTAAAAAATATTATCTATTAGAAATACAAACCAAAGTATTTTTCTTAAAGATTTTATTTACTGGGCGCCTGGGTGGCTCAGTGGGTTAAAGCCTCGGCCTTCAGCTCAGGTCATGATCCCAGGGTCCTAGGATCAAGCCCCGCATCGGGCTCTCTGCTTGGCAGGGAGCCTGCTTCTCCTCCTCCCCTCTCTCTGCCTGCCTCTCTGCTTATTTGTGATTTCTGTCTGTCAGATAAATAAATAAAATCTTAAAAAAAAATATTTTATTTACTTATTTGAGAGAGAGCGCACACTAGAGGGGGGAGGGGCAGAGGGAGAAGAGAAGACGACTCCCCACTGAGTAGAGAGCCTGATGCAGGGCTTGATCCCAGGACCCTGGGATCATGACCTGAGCTGAAGGCAGATGATTAACCAAATGAGCCACCCAGATGCTCAACATTGCTTAGGAGTGTCATCATCCCATTTAGTTTCTTACCTTGTATAGCAGAATTGAATATTCAAACTCACATTATATGGTCCCTTCTAGTGGGCTGGACATACAAGGAAGAAAGGAAAGCATGCATATATGACAAGAAATATATATATGACAAGAAAACAAGAAGTATGGAATTACCATCATCTTAAAAGGCTTCATATCTACTAATTCCATTACTGGGTATTTACCCAAAAAAACCCACTAATTTTTGAAAAAAAATGAAGCCCTATGTTCATTACAGCATTATTTGCAATAGCCAAGGTATGAAAATAACCCAACTGTCCATCTATAGATGAATGGATAAAAATCTATCCATTGATTAATGGATTAAAAATATGGAATGGATATTACTTTATTTATATAAATTTATATAAAGGAACATTATTTAACCATAAAAACGAAAGAAACCTTGCCATTTGCAACAACATGGATAGACCTAGAGGATAAAATGCTAAGTGAAATAAGTCAGACAGAGAAAGAAGAACATATAATTTCACTCATATATGGATTTTAAGAAACAAAACAGGGAGGCCTGGCTGGCTCAGTTGGTGGGGCATGTTACTCTTGATCTCAGAGTCATGAGCTCAAGCCCCATGTTGAATATAGAGACTACTTTAAAAAAAAAAAAAAGAATGAAACAAAACAAATGAACAAAGAAAAAAGAGACAAACAAAAATACGGACTCTTAAATACAGAGAACAAACTGGGGGTTGCCAGAGGGAGGTAGGTGGAAGTATGGGTGAAAGAAATAGAGGGGAGTAAGAGTAGAATTAACTTGACGAGTACTGAGAAATACATACAATTGTTAAATCGTTATAATGTAAACCTGAAGCTAATCTAATGTATATTAATTACACTTGAATTTAAAAAACATTATTACTTATATTAACACTCAAAAATGAATATAGACTCAAAAATGAATATGCTTCAATAGAAGCATAAATCTAATGAAATATGTACAAGATCTGTATGAGACATACCTAAAAAGCCCTGAAATAGATTCACATAAGAATAGACCCACCTTTATCTTCGACAAAGGAGCAAAGTCAATACAATGGCATAAACTTTTTAACCAGTAACACTAGAGCAACTGTACATGTACTTGAAAAAAAAAAAAAGAATCTAAACACACACCTCATATCCATCACAAAAATTAGCTCAAAATGAATCAAGCTAAATTTAAAACAAACTATAAAATTCCTAGAATATGAAATAGTGCAAAACATAGATGACTTTGGATATGACAATGACTTTTTATCTATAGCACCAAAGGCACAATCCATGAAAGAAATAATAGAATAGACTACTTCATTAAAATTAAAAACTTCTGGGACACCTGGCTTGTTCTATGCTACCAGAATTATGGGTAGTGCAACAGTTCTTGCATATTCTTATCACTTTATTATCCTGTCACCCATTGTTATGACAAACAAATCAAGTTTACTTAAACATAAAGAAGGCATCTTTGTGGTCCTCCAAATGTGTTTTCCCTAAAACCACTTTGCTAATTCCTGATCTCATCATTATTCCATTCAAACTATCAGATATTTATTAAGTACCAACTATTCCCAGACTCTAAAATAGACAATGAATTCAATGTTGAACAAGATAACATTATTTCTCCATTAGCTAAATTTTCATTAATGAATATAAACACTAAACATCCTATTAAAAACATCTTATTAAAAACAATTATAAACATCCTATTATAAACATCCTATTAAAAACAATTTGAATGATGATAATTAGACTTACTACAGAAATAACCATATTAAGATTAGAAGAAAAAATCTAAAAAAAGAAAAGCCTCTTATAATCTCTTATCCTTGGAGCTAGTCACTATTATTATTTTTGAATATTTGCTTTCAGGCTTTCATCTTTGATTTTCCAGAGATACAACCATTTCTCTTTTTTTTTTTTTAAAGATTTTTTAAAAGATTTTTAAAGTTTTTTTTTAAGATTATATATTTATTTGAGAAAGAGAGAGAGCATGTGAGTGAGCACAATCATGGGAAGGGGCAGAGGGAGAGAATCTTCAAGCAGACTCCCTGCTGAGAGTGAAGCCCTACACAGGACTTGATCTTGTGACCCATGAGATCATGACCTGAGCGGAAACCACGAGCTGGACGCTTAACCAACTAAGCCACTTAGGCGCACTGAGATACAGTCTTTTCTTGTTTTTTTTATTTTTTAAAGATTTTATTTATTTATTTGACAGAGAGAGAGAGAGAATAAACACACAAGCAGGGGGACCTACAGGTAGAGGAAGAGGGAGAAGAGGGAGGGAGGGGAAAAGAAGAGGAAGAAGGAGAAGCAGTCTCCCCGGGGGAGCTGTGAAGCCCATGCAGGGCTCAGTCCCTGAACCCTGGGATCATAACCTTAGTCAATGGCAGACGTTTAACCAACTAAGCCACCCAGGCGCCCCTATA